TCTAGAGAAGCAGACTGAATCAGGCAAGCCAGACAAACTTGAAGACAGAGTAATCACTGCAGCATCAGTGCCGTTGGAGTCTCCCAGGGTGATAGAAGGACATCTAGATGAAAGTTTAACCAAGTCTAAACGTCGTGATGAGCTCTCTGAAGAAAAGCAAGCTTCAAATCCTTCAGCACAGGAAAAACCGTCAGTTGAACAGCCGCCAGAAAACCAACCGAGTACTAATCATCATAAAAGAAGTGCAGATGACGTGGCTGCAGCGAGAGAACGCTATCTAGCAAGGAAGAGACCTAAAGAACCATAGAATTTCTGCTTGTCATGAATGTTTGTAAAAGCTGAAAGAAAGTAATGTTTGGGAAGCAATTTCGGATCCAACGATAGTCTATGGTATTTTCTTGTGTGTTTTGTTTAAACGTTTCACCATTTGATTGGATCATGTTGGGTGATAAGATGATTAAAAGAATGCTGTTTGGTACACTATTTGGAGAGGCAAAAATAAGGACATATTTTTCATGGTATATCGTGTATTTACTAATGGAATATCTTGTATTTGATATGAAGCGTTTATGGATCAATGAATTTTCAGATTTGAAGTGGTGACATCAACTCATTGGTTCAAATCCTCTCAGTTCTCAGATAAATTTAGCGTAAGTTATCTTGTCGTTTGTCAAAAAACATATCAACCATGTGTTCTTGAAGACATCTACCTCTCTTTGCAATTAAGCTAGCAATTAGCATGAAACATCTCCGACGTCTGACTATGCATATCATTATGATTTCGTTTCATGTCTACAATTGGATGTTAAAGTATAAAATGAATGCAACTTTTAAATGACGTGAAGAAAACTTATCCCTCGTCTTATTATTTCTGTGGTTGGGTCAAGATTTTTCGTGCCAATTCTATTTTTTATTTAACATGAAAGAATGATAGGAACATCCATAAGAGCAAGTTCATCCTAATTTTAATCCCTTAAGGAATAGCCCATGATTTCTTGTCCCTATACTCCTCAGCATAATGGTATTGCTGAAAGGAGATATCGTCATGTAGTAGAAACTGCTATCACTTTAATGACAGAAGCAAATTTGCCTCAAATGTTCTGGTATCATGCTTGCTCTCATGTAGTCTTCTTAATTAACAGAATGCCATCTCAGACCTTAGAGTTTAAGTCTCCATATCAGCTTTTGTTTGGGAAAACACCAGAGATTCATAATTTTAAAGTCTTTGGCATTGCCATCTATCCTTTATTGAGACCATATATTGTCAACAAGTTTCAAGCTCGATCTTCACTATGTGTTTTTCTTGGCTATGCTTTGGGATACAAAGGAACAATATGCTATGATCTGACCAATACAAAATTGATTTTGTGAAGGCATGTAATATACAATGAAGAAGTGTTTCCATATAAAATGGAACCATCTCGAAGGTATATTCATTTTGAATAGCCTAAGCAGATAACAGAAGATGTGGTTATGATCCAAATGCCTATTCCTGCAGTTAATAGTTCAGTACCAGTATCAAGTGGTGTGTCTATTCATGAATTACAAGCAGATTCAGTGTTAGAGATTGTTTCTCAACAACAAGTTTCAAGTGTGCAGTCAAGTGCTGATATGGAAACATCTGATCCATCTGTTAATAGTTCAAGCATATCTCCAACATCAACTTCCCATCATCATCACTCCAATTTAGAAGTTAATGAATCACCCTTGTTGCCTGTCCATCACATTTCCCAACTGGAGGTATTACTTCCTATTTCTCCACAACTAAGTGAACATTCTGAAAATCATTCAATATCCCCAGATGCATTATCTATTCATCCCATGGTTACAAGATTGAAGAGTGGGACTATACAATGACAGAATTATGTTGCATACTTGGCTTCTTTTCTAGAATTAAAGTTGTTGATGCACAAAATCAGTGGGGACTTTGGTACAACAGAAAATGTTAAGTTTGTGACCTTCGCTAGATTGCTCCGGTCACTAGTGTGGATAAGTATGTAAATGGATAGAGACAGGGAAGCAAACACAAGATGTACGTGGTTCACCCATATTGGCTACGTCCACGGAGTAGAAGAGTTCTCATTAATTGTGAAGGGTTTACACAAGTACATAGGTTTAAGCTCTCCTTTAGTGAGTACAAGTGAATGATTTAGTACAAATAACATTAGGAAATATTGTGAAAGAATTATCTCTATTTATAGAAGAGAGTTTCTAGTTTCATTTTGACATTGACACTTGTCGTGTTGTGATTGGCTTCTGATGTTGACACGTGTTGCGCTATAATTGGCTTCTGATGTCGACACGTGTCGCACTGTGATTGGCCTCCTAGTTGGAGGGAGACTCTTCTAGGTCCTTGACGGTATAACATTGACCGGTGCTCAATAGTTTTGGGATTGGTCAAGTATGGTACAAACAAAAGTCATTACAAATTATAGAAGATGAGGTGTTTTCTGGTGGTTATTCATTTGTGATAGAGATAACTGATAAGAACCCTCTAATTTTCGAAAAGCTGCAAGTATTCCACATTGGCAGAAAGCAATGTAGGAAGAATATGACTCTCTTAGGGCACAAGGTACCTGGCAGTTAGTTCCATATCCTAGTAACAGATCTGTGGTTGGTAGTAAATGGGTTTACAAGGTCAAAAAGAATTCTGATGGCAGTATATCGAGATACAAAGCTCGATTGGTGGCTCAAGTATTTTCACAGGAGCATGAAATTGATTATTCAGAGATGTTTAGTCCTGTTGTTAGACACACAACAGTAAGAATCATTCTTGCTATGGCTACAATGAATCACTGGGAGTTGAAACAGTTAGACATTAAAAATGCATTCTTGCATGGGGATTTACAAGAGGAGATTATATGCAACAACCTCAAGGTTTTATTGATCCTACCTGTCCTACACATGTATGTAAATCATTGTACGACCTTAAACAAGCACCAAGGGCCTGGAACTCTAAGATTACCAGCTATCTGTGTGTTATGGGGTTTCATGCTTCATTGTCTAACACAAGTTTGTTTGTAAAGAACAATGGTGCTGATATCATCATACTACTTCTCTATGTGAATGATATAATTTTGACAGGTTCGAATTATGTCCAAGTTCAACAAGTCATTCATGAATCATCAGAGGTGTTTGAATTAAAAGATTTGGGAAGACTCAATTATTTCTTGGGCCTACAAATTTCATATCAATCAAATGGTGATATATTTGTAAACCAGTCGAAATACATAACAGATTTGATCCATAAAGCTGGAATGGACTCTTGTAAGCCGACCACAACACCATATAAGCCACACAACTCATTACTTGTCACTGAAGGCATGTCATTGATTGATCCTACATTTTACAGAAGTATTGTAGGTTCTCTACAATACCTAACATTTACTAGGCCAAATATTGCTTTTGCGATTAATTCTGTGTGCCAATTTATGAAAGCACCAATTGATGTTCATCTTGGAGCTGTGAAAAGAAACTTGAGGTATCTAAAAGGTACAGAGCAATATGGTATTGTGTATTCAGCAGCTACATAACCGATTATCAATGCTTTTTCAGACTCGGATTGGGTTGCAGATTTAAACACTCGATGGTCTATGACTGGTTAACTTGTTTTCCTTGGTAATAATCCAATTTCATGGCAGTCAAAGAAGCAAAGTTCTGTCTCTCGAAGCTCTACTGAAGCGGAATACAAAGCCTTGGCTCACACTGTAGCTGATCTAGCTTGGATAAGGGCGGTCTTGAAGGATTTGGCGTTGTTTCTGCCAACACCACCAGTTATACACTGTGATAACCTGTTTGCGATTGCATTAAGTGCAAATCCAGTGTTTCATTCCCGAATCAAGCACTTGGATACGGATTACCATTTCGTTAGAGAGAAGGTACAACAAGGTGATTTAGCAGTCTCCTACATTCCCACTGAAGATCAATCTGCCGATATTCTAACTAAGGGGTTGCATGGTCCGTTATTCGTCAAGCATTGTTACAATCTTAAACTTGGTAACCCAAGTTAAGATTGAGGGGGGGGGGATATTGACTAGCATAAGAAGGGTAGTATGGTCAAAATGTTTAAAATGGTGTTGATGTGTAAAATTGTTATAAAAGACAGTTAGTTAGTTAGAGTTGTTAGCATCAAAAGCTTAGGAGATAAGGTAGCACTTAGGTATATAAGTGTGAGAATCTTGTAAACAATTCAATCAAAGTAATACACCGAAATTCATATCTTTTCTCTAAGAAATTCCCCCCCCAACAAACCCAATACCCAGCTTCTCACCTAGTTGAAAATCCACTAACCCAATACCCAGGTGATCTGACGCTGATGTCAGCCACATGCACAGCCTTTGTTCTTTTGTGCCAGGCGTGTGAGAAGCACGAGCGAGTGGACGCACATTCCAGACAGGTTGCATGGGATGGGGGGCCGCGCTGGCAAGTGCACTCAAGGGATTCGGTAGAGGAGCAACGTGGCGCAACAATGGCCATTAGATTTCCAGCGGTAAAAAAAAAAAAATTGAATTTTAAAACCAACAGCTAATGACGTGACAAAATATGGACCATTCAATTTCTAAATCAAGGGTCCAAGTTTCTTGGCCTAAAAAAAAGAAAAAAGTCAGAAATCTTACCGTTGGCCATGTGTCCAAATTTGGGCTGTTGGATTTGAGTCCAGATTTTTTAACTTAATAAAAATTTATAAAAAAATGTTAAAAATTACAGAAAAAATAAAACAATCAATTACGATTCATTACACGTAATTACTGTTCATTTGGGTGGATTATATTGACCATTGCGTAGAGGGCTTTTAGGAGTGGGAATGCTCTAAAAGCTGTAGATAAACTCAAATTTTCCTTGAAGCTAATCCCCAGTTGTGCACTTATTAGGTGCGAATTATGGTCAATGATTCACTGAGCATCATAATTTGAGAGCCACTTTATGCATTATTTCAAATGCCTCTCTCAAGTGCGATAATTGCAAGCCAATAGCTAGTTTGTAATCCACGTGCTATAATATGAGTCATTCAAGATTAATATTTCATAGATTTAAGGTATAAATTTAATAAATAGGTATGCGTCTTATAACACAAGTGGACATCGCAAACCGAATAATATAAGGAAAAAATGCCCCTCGGGCAATATAAATAGGTAATGTGATTCTAAAATCAAAAGCCAAAATCACACGCTGATTAAACATATCATTATCCTTTGTTAATCACTTTCTTCATCACTTTCCTGTATGTCTAAGTGATTCATATTCCTTTCCAGTGGCGGAAGCCCATCATCGGAATCACAAGAGCCCTCCTCATCTTCACCGAGAGAGGACAGGTCTGCTCCTCCTCCTGTAACAGCAGAAAACAGACGTGCTGAGATTATCATACTTTTCTCTACAAAGATGCTCTTTGGAGAGATATCGCCTCCGTTCAATTGAAATGCAAAACACCTTGCTAAGGCCACTTAAGCAAATTGGCACCCTCAATCGTTGCCCAGTAAACCGAGTGAACGTGTATAACCTCACTACTTACAAAACCTGGTAACAAATTTAAGCAATATTTACAACACCAGACCAAACCACCTCATCCTGTGCAAACGAAAGGGTCAAATGTTGGTTGATAGGTCAGGTCTCTGTGAATAAGTGCCAAAAAAAAGGTAGGGGGTGCCCTTCATCAACCACCGACCCAATACTGTATTAAGATGAACAGGCTGACGAGCAGCATACAACCACAAATAAAAGTAAAATAGAAGACTCTACAAAAATGAAAAGGATTCAAATGAAATGCCCCTGAAATCTTATGGGACATGAGTCGAAACAACAGATCAAACCTGATGTCTTGTAAAAGGAATTTACTTTCTGTTTATAAAAGTAAAAAGTACCTTTTACTTCTCTAGGAGACTTTGGAACCTGACTGTTTTGTGAAAGCCAATCATTTTGGACCGAAATTATTTCAGCACTATTTTCACATTTGGAGTATGCCTTCAGAAGTTCCCTGCATTGATACCATGATACTAAAGTGGTCATTACTTGAACGTTAAGCCGTTGGATACAGTTGAATTTCAGCCACTAATCTCATTAGAAAACACTAGTCAATCTGGGATTGTATGGAACTTTCGTTTTTAACCTGATGTCAGTCATAAATTACATTGTTTCCTAGATTTACAATAAGCTAAATCCTCTGAAACTGTGAGGCCAAAGACCGAGGAAGAAAATCCTGAAGAGAGTAACAACCTAGATCAATCTGGAAGTTAAAAAACTAAAAAGATATTGATTTAGCTAAGATCGTTTTTCTTTACTCAAACATGACCAAATTATACTAAAGGCATGTCATCAAAAGTTAGACATCATTTCGTTAATTGGTTGTACATTTTCTTCGTCAGCTACGTGTTTGAATTGACACAGCTCTAATTTCTTACCTGGACTATGCTTTCTGATGAACATATATGCAAAACTAAATACAAAACCAAATAAAAGATAATCACATACCTATTCAGGGACAGGAAAGCATGACCCCATTTGAACTTTCCAAGCAACAAATTTGCAGTTTCTTCTTCCCCACTGTAAAATCGTATAAAAGAAACATTTAAGAAAAAAAATCAACTCCATGTCTGGCAGATGATATATCAAACTGTTGAGCCAAATAGACGCCAAATCCTAAGTTGGCCCATTTTCAGGGAATAAATTGGCTGAAAAATAGTTCAGAGCTTAAATTGACAATCATGTGATAATTAAGTTATTCTACGGAAAACCCTAAAAGTCATAAAACTTTAATAAGTTTTATTTTAAGAAAGTGAAAGAAGTAAACATAAGAGATTGCACTGGTGTAATTAAGGACCAAAAAGGTATCAGCTTCTGCAAGGTAATGAAAAGAGATTCCAGTACCATATGAACAAAGCCGCAGATAATGCCTCCACACAAGATAGTTGACAGGGTCGACCATAATTTACTGGATTTGCTGCTACAAGCCAAGGCACTGCAAATTATATGATTTGTAAATGTTAGTGAGCTGGTAAGAAGAAAACTGTCAAACATAGAAATTCAACTTCATGCATGTGAGAATGCTAGTAGCTTATGTTCACTCAATTTTGTGATCCATTAATAACACCATATAACATGATTATAACAAGCAGAAGAATCAATTACGTTATAAAAATGATAAACAAGGTTGCTATCAATTTAGACTAGTAGCGAACAGATAATTATCACATTAGGTAGACAAACTTTAATCAAACATGGTTGCTCAGCCTGGAAGCAATGCATATCAGCTCTGTGAGCTAACTTTCTGTGTCTCTGTTTAGAAAGGCTATTCTAGTGTTGCTAACGGTATGCGACTGGTAAGAAAAACGTCACAGTAACAGGTTGCATTGCAATACAAATATAACATCTACAAGGAATGACCACATGGAAATTATTTTATCCTGAGAACGAGTCTACAATGAGAGCTCCGTGTCACACCCACTTACACAAATACTGATGGCATTTTTAAAAAGGCACATAGCACATATCAGGATATAATCTTGAAGCTAACCAGTTGTGTTTTAAAATTACATAGCAAAAAGCCAGACAAATAATGAAAATAACTAAACACTTTAGTTAGAAAATGATAAATTCTTATGGAATTTCTTCAATCACTCTCCCAGTTAGTAACAGTCAGTATTTTCAGTTTCATAGTTTGCTAGGGCAGTCTATTTCCATTTTCTTCATGTATTTATTTATATTTGTTACTCTAAAGGAAGTTTTAATTTCATTTTCTATACTTACAGACACAGAGAATCAGTGTGGGCAAGAGACTTTAGAGGCTTACACACACTTCAAAGGATACACTTTCTACCCTTATTCTTAGATTTATGACCAGGGTTTTATTTGTTAATGGTAATATCTTGTATGGTATAATGAATCGCCATGTGTAATCTTAGACTCTTTTCATTTTTTGTTCATGTAAGAGTACACATGAAGACTAAGCTCCCATCCAGTTATACATTTAAAACTCTGTCTTTGGCATATCAAATTTGTATTCTCATATTTAATGTTTTCATAGTGCACATCATTTTTTTAAAAGACATGTTGGACACTCCTGGTTGTCTGCAGCCCCATATAATACTATAAATAACCTACTCCAAGCTAGCTAATTGATTGAAGAACCAAAGCTCATACAGAGGCGAGGAGCAGTGCAACGCAGCTTCACAAATGGTACATCATCCAAGCGTGCCCAAGAGCAATCCACAACAGCCAATCCTTTTCGCTGGATTAAACTATAATCTTCTCTTGAGACACAAAGCATCCCAACTGGACTGCAGAAATGGAAAACAACACTAGTAAAAAAATGCATATATGCACCTTAATGAACCAAGAAGCAGTAATGTCATTTCAAATGCATAAACTGTTTAGCGAAAGGAACAGCAGAATTCATACATGTTTCTATGATGAACCATGAAGTAATGAATGTCATTTTAAAAGTATAAACTGTTCAATGGAAGGAACAAAGGTGCTGCTATAAATTTCCATTAGAATACAAATTTCAATTAGAACTATAACAAGAGACTCTCCTAAAGCTCAGCTTAACCCAATATCTCTCCGAAAGAACCAGAGCAAAAATTCTTCAAAAACTGAAACACTCATTCTTTAGAGCTCAGATATTATCATATTATTTAGGGTGGAAATGTAGATGAAGCCAAATTGATAATTTGAGGGTAATACAGAAGGCTATAATGATTCAACCTCTCCCATTACACCATCAGAAAGATCAAGTGATGCTCGCTTGATTTTTGGAATAGAATTTATCTAACTTTTTCTGTATAATATTCCAGTGCAGCTAGATACCGATAAAACTAACACAATACAACATGACATTATTAAAAAAATGTAATTAACATATGGGTATAGTAAGGTAAAACAAAATGAAGAAAGTTGAGGGTTCCACCATAAAACCAAGGGAACTTTAACGAAAAGCTCCCGGTACTGTTTACTTTAACAAAAAATCACATTTTTACACTAAAAAGTCAATTGTGGTACTATTCACTTTACCCTTTATTTTGTCCTTATCGTTAAAACTCAAAGTTTTCAAGCCCTTTTCATTAGTTTTCCTTAAAACCAATTGGCAATATGGGAGTAGCCCAGTTACTTATAAGCACATGCAAGTAATTTTCCGATCTGAGATTCACTCTCAATACAAGATAATTTCTTAAAGTACCTCAAAACAATGCCTCCAAAACCATTATTGACACGCAATTCCTGCAAGAAACAGTATGAATATTAACACTAAGAAATTACAAAAGCAAAACCATATAATAAATCTTAAATTCCATATCCAGGTTTTACAGTTTAAGGAAAATGCATTTGGTACTATGTCACAATTTTGTTTGTCCCAACAAGTTTTCAACATTTAAATATTATGTACTTAATTGTGTCATAGTTGTAACCCAGTACACTCCAAAACATTATAGATCAGTAGCAGAGCCACCAAGGGACCAGAATGCTCTCCGGCCCATCCTGCCTTTTTTTCTTCTTGCTACTATAACAGATGGTGTTGCTGCATATCAGTCTAATACTCTTAAAATTCAGATGTGTTCTCAATCCAAACTCTTTTTCATTCCAGGCCAGCCTCCTTTTTCTCTCAGTACCTCTTTTAAGCAAATTACTCCATTCTCTCATGTTTTATGTTTCAAATTACCATATATATGAGAGGCCCTCCCACACATTAAATCCTAGCTCTGGCACTTTTATAGATAGTTTAATAGACCAAGAGTTAAAGGCAATCTTCACATATTTGGTCATGAATAGGCTCAAGTGCTCATAGTGCAAACTAGGAAAACTTAATCAGGACAAAGTCAAGAAAAAGATCGATAAACTTCAACACTATGCAGGAAAAATTCTTGTAATGTCATAGAACAACATATATAAGATAGAGCTCTACAAAAGAGTTATTGTTTTTCACTTAAAAGATGTAAATTGGACCAAATTCTCATTTCAATACTTCCCTCTTACAATTGAAAAAAAAAAAAAGTCGTACGCATAATATCGAATAAAGATTTCAATACACTAACCCTATAGCCAATTGATCAAATCATACAAACGATGACAATTTACCATCCACATTAAAGATGAAAACTTTATAGAGATGTGTTTGGGCCCAAATTTACACAATCGGCCTGAGTAATCGAGACCGTTGAATATTATTTTATTATCCTGTATAGTCAAAGCAAATTGGTCAAGAAAGAACACAAAGGGATATGGACGGAGGAGTTCAAATATCTTGGCAGATATGGAAGAATCATAGTCATCGAATATCTTGGCAGGATGCTAAATATTATAATTAGATGGGATTAATGAAGTTGCATGCATATGGACATATGTGGTGGAAGAAGAAGGTTTATAGTTGCATTAGGAGTCTTTGACTTTGAAGTGATGGCTTTGGATGGGATAAGGCTAGGATCTGATGAGATAAGAAAGCTTCTGATGGGATAAATATAAGTCAAAGTGGGAATAAAATAGGGTTAGCATGCAGAGTCCCTATTGTTGTTCAGATTCGCATATTCCATCACGAAGTCTTTGGGTGCAATTGAAATACAAATCCGTCAGGCCAAAGCTAGCAAATATCCAACCCTATAAATACAAGACTCAGTACATCATTGAAGCCGCTTCAATTCAACACAAACTGCCATGCGCAAACTCTCTCAACAACTTTGAGATTTTTTTATTCTTTTTTCGCTGACACATCTTCCGTTGGCATCAACAGCACTGTGAAAGCAACCGGTGATATCTTAAGTCGGCATAGATAGCTCTGTCACCGTAGAATCAATCGATCTTGCGGCATCTTCCGTTGGCATCAACAGCACTACGGCGAGGACGGTTGATTACCTATCCAAGTCTCGGTCGAGAAGGATTTCTGAATCCTTATTGGTCGAGGTCATCTCATCAGCCTTTTCGGCAAAGTGAGGTGTTACAGTTATTACATTCGGCACATTGAAAGCCGAATTCGATTCGTGAACTTCGTAAGAATAGTAGCCTTGTCTTCAGGTTCGAGAATCCAAGAGGCCGAGACGTGTTCCTTTCTCGGCCGCAATCGCAAGACGCAGAAGTCAGTAAGCGCGACCCAACGCAACATCAACAAATTTTACTCCTCGACCGAGCTCGGCCGACGAGTTGGCACGCCCCGCATTCACCGAAAGACGTAGTTAGCTTATAGATTACTCAGCCTGCGCGCCACGTAGGCTTGGTAGTGTTTAGGGTCAACAAGATGACCACAAGCCAATTCTTATTTAACAGATGGAAAAAAAACCTAGGTAACATACAAATTTTAAAAGTGAACGAGTGATTCAAAAGGAAAAAATAAGCAGGCACTTACTTTCAAAAAGCCAAATCTTGAAAGCTTGCGTCCCGTGCATCTTTTTGCATCACATTGGCCAAAATCCTGAATCAACAAAACAGCACCAATTGATTTGAGGTTCACAGAATGGACTGAAATTAAGGATAACATTTGAAAAGTTCATTTTAGCTGAACAGAGTAAGGCCACAGGATTCGGACGTTATCTCAACCAAATTAGTCGAAATCAAATGCAGTAGACTTGAACACCCTCTAAACATGAACAGAAGTCATTGCAATTGAACTATAATCGAAATAACAATCTAAGACGAATATTATAGGTAAAAATAGAGACAGAAAAGCACACCAATTTGAAGAGAAAAGAGAAGTAAAGGGAAAAACAAAGATTGTAGTAAAAGAAAAGGCAAAGAAATGCATACCCACATTGCAAGCTGGATTTTGGGACCTGTTGCTGTTGGCTCCTCTTCAGTAGCTGCAGTACCAACCAAAAAGAAAAAAAGAAAAGAAAAAAAAACCCAATGAAACCACGGCGGGAATTATATCAAACACCTTGGGTGCAAGAATGGAAACAAAATTGGAGACCTTGATCGGACGGTAGGGATTCGTCAGACTGTGGAAGATGGTGATGGGTCCGGCTAGATTGCCCACGGTCACGGTGAGGCGGCTTATGGTTCTTGAACCGCTTGTTGTTACCCATTTCCTTTGCTTTCTTTTGCTTTTGCTGCGGAATCTGCGCAAGCGCTCTCCTTGGACAGCGTTTTAGGGTGGCTCGTCTGGTTTGCTTGCTGGGCTTTTGTTTTTCGTTTGTTGCGAATTCAATTAGAATTTTGAGAAATTTTAACAGATTTTTATATTATTTAGCCAGAAAATTTTCATTGCATTCGGTACACGAGTTATGGGTTATAAAATAAAAAAATTAATGAAAAAAGTTTGAAAACTTTGAGTTTTAATAATAAAGACAAAATAAAGGATAAAGTAAATACTATCAGGTTTGACTTTTTAGTGTAAAAATGTGGTTTTTCGTTAAAGTGAACAGTATTGTGGACTTTTCGTTAAAACTCCCTATAAAATAAGCACTGGGATACTGGAATAAAAAAAAAATTACTTACATTATCCTATGTGGTGAATCGTTTGTGTTCTGAACACACAGAAAAAAAATATTTCCAATTTGATAGAAGTATATTAATGTGACTTAAGTATCTTATTTCTCTCTATTTATTTGGTTTATTTTTATTTGTTATAGGTTTAGTTACTAAAGTTGACAATTAGAGGTTAATTGGAGCAAAATGGAGCAGTTTAGAGTTGGTTTGCATAGCATGCATGGAAAGAACAAGGGTTGGACGTTTTTGGAGTTTGAACGGTGCTAAGCTTGTGCAAAAATCTGAAGGAATTGAAGTTGACGCTTGGAAGACAAGGAAATACGCAAGAAAGAGGAGTCCTATTATAATCCATAACTCTCTTACAAACATATAGCTGAATACCTAGAGTCCTATTATAATCTAAATTCTCTTACAAACCTATATATACCTTCATCCACACACAATCATTCTCTGTCTCTGCATACATTCAAGCCGTTTCTACTTTCTGTTTAGCTAGAGGTGAATTCGAAATCATAAACATATGATTTATATGAATTGGTTACATCCAGCCAGTTATTGTTTCATAAAAATGTGAATGTGATTTAATTATCTATGTTTATTGATAACTTATTCTTGTATGTTTATTAAGAGGGTTGCTTAGTTTGCATGTAGGAATTGATGCTAGAATACAAGGTAATTTCACATAATCGTCATGAACTTGTATTTGCAAATAATAAATCACTAATCATGATTGAGTTAAGTAAATTCTTTGCAAGTGTATCATGTGTCATAGATACAAATGCTTTGTCAATATTTATGGTTTTCATAGAACTTAATGATCTTTGATATGAATATTTATCACATATCGTAGTTAGATGTCATGAGAGGAATAATTTGACGAGCAAAGCGTTCATTTTCATTGAACTTAAGAAAATTTGAGGGTTAATTAGTGTGTCACTATTAGCTTGGGACATTGTCATAATGATTTATAAAAACAATAACTAGAAATTGATTTGTATGTTTCATGTGGAGAGAAGAATCCTTTAATAAACTTTTCACCAATTTATCACTCACAACTTAATTTGCTTGCTGCTTTTACTCTGTTTACTTCTAAGGCTTCTCCTCCAAACTCATTTGGACTACTTCTATCTATGTGATGTTATTTCGTATTATTTCTTAATCTCCAATTAATTTAAACTACCTACCAAAAGAAGGTGAAAAACTATTTAGTCTTCTACCACATAAGAAAAATGATGGGCAATAATGTAATTTTACAAAACCAAATTTTGTTGTTTTTATTAAAGCTTAACATATATTTAAAAAATAAAAAATAAAATACCTCTCTTTCATCTCCCACTCCCATGTTCTCTCCCTCTCTCATTTCCTTTTTTTTTTTAGAAAAAAAAAATATATATTTACACACACAAAGTATGTAGGCATATGCTAGTAACGATTGTGAAAGGATTGTCTTTTAAGACATACAACCAACAAGGGCTAGATTTAAAACTGAAAAACCAGCCGCCCTAATAGGAAGTTTTACAACTTACAATTGCACTAATGCTAGAAAAACTAAATTAAGAAACAAAATTTGCAAACTAAATGAAGTCTCGCCAATAAGTAATAAACCAATCATCAACTTTCATGTATTTTAGTTTCCAAAATTTTATCTACAAATTTAGCTTCCCTAGCATGCAATATGAACTAAAAAAATTGGTTCACCAAGAAAAACATATATCAGAAAATTGCAAAGTTGCAACATTAGCAGCGTTAAAGAAACGCAAAAGTTGAATTCGACCTATTTAAAAGGGTATAAAGTAACAGCAATGTAGAGGTTTCAAAAGCCACACTATTCAATCATGCGAGGAGTCTCACATCAATTTCCTGATAAGCAAAAATAAGTTCTGATCAATCTTAAACTTAGTACAACTCGAAGGATCTCCTTTCAGCATCATCTGAAGCCCACCAAATGAAGCGTATACCTCCCTGAAGCCAATCACATAAACCCAGTCAAAATGCATGTTAGTAAGATGACCGCAAGGCCATTAAACAATTAAAACAAATTCATCTCTTTTTACTCACAATTTGTAAGAGGACAGCAATATACCAGAGATCAAATGGATCTCGACCTAAATGTGATTTTTAAAACAAGAGCGCTACTTGCATATATCATAAGCAATCCCTAAATGATATCCAAAAAAATGAACCCCCACTAAACCAGACACACGTCTGTAACGTTCACTCTGCGTAATTGAGAGTGTGTCTGTGCGCGTATGTTGTGTCATGAGCTCAACTTGCAAACAAGAAACTTCAAAGGTTGCAAGAAAAGATAGTTTGAACAATATATCACGTACACTTTGACCTCAGTCTTTGAACCTTCATCTGAAGCCTTGGGTTTTCCTTTTGAAGATTCTGAACTTGCTGTTGACATTTTGTACAGCAATCCATGCATAATATATTCAAATTTGTCAGCAAGAGATTTCTGCTCAACCTGCCAAAAGGTAGCAGTAATTTTAACACAATATACAAAATGGAACAGGATATTATTCTTACTCGTCTTCTCTACTGACAGAGATCATGGGAAAGTAAGAGAATCAGACATGAACATGTCAATGGAATGTTTTACTATAAGCCGTCAACTTTGTATACTACAAGCCATTTGAAATTTTACTGGCACTAGTCTATTCTACCCTTTGCTTCCCTTACTGAAACATGTGAAGACACATGCACATGTGCCCAGTTTTCAATCTACCAACCCGCGAGATTACATCAGAGTTCAAATTTTGGAGGTCAAAATATTAGTACGAGGAGAGGAAAAATCCTACCCATTCTCAAAGTAATAATATATTTCCACTTCAAAAGGAACATCGGACACTAGAAATCAATGCAAAGTAGAGTACCTGTCCACGTTTTCCAGTAACAGGTGCTCCGCTCCACTCAAGTGTGGGAGACAGCACCATCAAGAACTTCTCCTTTACATGCATAGGATATATTTCCGTATTCACATCTAGGAGCAGCAACACATCATGCTTCTCACTCTGTGCTACAATCCGGGAAACTAAAGAAACACATATCAAAATTAAGCAGAGCACCAAAGAGCATTAGAATATTTTTCAGACAAGTCGAAAGCTTTATAGATCATGCCATTGCCAAGCCAAACTAACAGTGTGAAAAGGCGTTTTCCAACGATGTGGGGCAATTAATTACGTGAGGGCAATGTCCAAACCCCAAAGGAACGGAGAATAAATTTCGACATATTTACAAATAGCAAAATTCATTCTAGTAAATCAATTAACAAATAAAACTGAATTCTCATTTTTTATGTTGATTTGAATATAGACCTCAGTTCAGTTCATTGAAGTATAAACACGATAGAAATCAATTCTACGACGTGTAAAAAAGAAATACAATGTCCACACACACATTTAACAACAACGAGACTCGAGTAATGCATATGAGGACCATAATTATGCTAAAAGAGGATTAGATGGAAATAAATTTCAGAAGCAGGTAAATGCATCTGGTGAAGATTGGAAAAACTGAATGAAATTGTCTGGCACTGGCAAGTGGCAATGACGAGAGAGAGAGAGAAGCAAACCTTTGTCAAATTTTTTGCCATCTGGGTCCACTTTCTCAATGCTAAATATATCATCAAACAGGAAATCAACCATTCTTACCCAAGTTTGTCAAAGTTACACCTACACAATCATGAAATAAAATGAAATTAAAGCCTCATAAAACAGTAAAAAGAATGATACTCGAAGTTGAAGCTACCTAACAAATGCACAAAAGTGGTTCTGGGTTTCTCCTAAAACTCAAATCCCAGTTGCAGAAACACAAAAGCATCTAAATTCAAGCAACTCCAAACCATACTCAACAACTAACAAAAACCCATATGGAATGGAAGAAAATTACCCAAAAACACAGACCTTTTCTGAAACTATTCAAGTGAGAGAGACAGAGAAAGAACCCACAAAATTAAATGCACAGAGAGAGAGAGAGAGAGAGAGAGAGAGAGAGGTAGTTAGGTTAGGGTTACCGAGCTCAGAGATGGAGAGGACGAGCGAGCTGGGAGTGAGAAGCCGCTGAGGAAGAATTAGGAGTTGGGCGGGAGAGAGAGAGAAGGGCGCGAGATGTACTTAGGGCTTCTTCCTTATTTATTTACGTACCCGGCCCAGACCAAAACGATTCGTTTTGCCACTTTATTAGTTTGCCACTCGGCTCCTTCACGGTTCACCTCCACCTCCACCACCAGCCCGACTAGAACGAACCCCTTTCTTTCGGGACCGTCGTCCGCTGACTCCTCACGTGCTCCGACCTCTCATCAAACATCTTCACTTCAGCGCCCTCTCTCTCTCTCTCTCCAGAAATCCATGTTGCGAAGGTCGATTCTGTAGATTGCATCTCGTCGTGGACGTAGAAGAAGGATTCCGAGGCCGATTACAAGGGAATTCTCTGCCGCAGCCTCCAGAACTTCCTCCCACCACCCTGGAGGTGCACCCAATCCGCCGCCGCCGGGAAAAGGCGGTTCCAGTGCCAAAATTTTCCTCGGGAGCGCTGCTGTTGGTGCTGGGTTTGTGGCAGCTTACAAAACCGGGTATCTAGACCCAATTTTCGGTGCGAAAGAGAAGAGTGATTCGGTTAAGGATGCCGCCATTGGTTTCGAGGATCACAAACATGTAGGAGAAGAAAAACATGATGAAGAAAGAGCTGGCATTGCTGAGGAGAAGGTGGAAACGCAGTCGGATGTTCCCAATGTTGAGGGTTTGAGTGGAATTAATGGCGAAAACCCGCAGTCTTAGGTGGCTGATGGTAATAAACCGGAGAGTGACATCACAAGTGAGAAAGGTTGGCCAGAGTATTCCCAAAATGCGAATCTTGGGTCATCATCTGAAGGGAATGTAGACGTGAAGAGTGCAGAAGAAGAAACAAGTTATATCACAAGAGTTATGAGTAAAAACAATGGTCAATTGGACATTAACATCGAAGAGAGCTTATTTGAAAGGGTTTTAAATGAAGTTGCGTTTGGCGAAACTTTGTTTTTACAGGTTGCATTAGGTATTGGTGAAGAGCCATCAGGTTCTCTCCTCAAGGCATATCATCTGAAGGATGGGGCCAACGAAAGCATCGAATTTACTAATAGGCAGGATGGTAATGAATACGATAGCTTTCCTAATGAAAAAGAGGTAATTATAAGCAATTTGTGTTCGTCGTTTGATGCATATGGATGTTGCAATATTAAAAGGGAATGTCCAATTGTACTCTCTGAATTCTGGTTCTCTAAATTAATAGGCGCTCAATGTAATCAAAGGGCTAAACGATGCTTACATATCCAAAGATGAAAAGTTAGTTCTTGACTTCTTACAAGCCATTCATACCGCTGAGAAAAGGCAAGCGGAGTTAGATGCTAATGTTTTTTCAGAAGAAAAGAGAAGGTTAAAGGTCTCTACTATTACTTACAAGAATTTATGGTTCGCTTTTCTTTATAAGATTGACTAGATTGTCGTGGGGAGCTCCGTACTATTCATAAATTTACAAGAATTTATGGCTCACTTTCGTTTATAAGATTGACTAGAGTATTGCGGGGAGTTCTGTACTATTCATAAATTTGACTACCTAGCTCACCACAGGAGAAGTATGAAAAGGAACTAAAGGATGCTGGGACTAGGGAGCTGATGCTTGCAGAAGAGGCAGCAATGCTAGACAAGGTTCAAGAGTTCTCTCATATATATTATTTGTTTTATTTTCAATGGACTATCTTCTCTTGCTTTCTCATTTGGAGCCTTGACTGGGAGGACACCTTGTATAAACTGTGTCTGCATGAGTTGTTAATTATTGACGGACATTTTGCATCACATTTTTTATTCCCTCACGGGTATTTTGCACCCGCTTGGGAATAAGTCTTTGGTGTATTATTAAGAATTTTGAACTATGAAGTATTAGTATTTCAATACAAACTCAAAAAGTTTGGAGTACTACAATTGTTGATGCACAAAACTAGAAGGTCTTGGAGTAAATCGGACCGTGAATCTGCAAGAAAGTAAAGAACACAAGATGTATCGTGGTTCACCCCAATGTTTGGGCTACGTCCACACTGATGTTGATCGTATTTCTCTGTAACTGTATGTATGGATTACAATTGTGAGGAGGAGTCCCCCAGAGAAAGAGAGAGTTTGAGAGAGTTTCTCTGTTTGTGAGCCTTGTGGCTTTGTATGTGAGGATGAGACCTGAGGATTGTGAGGGTGAGGAGGCCCTTTTATAGACTAAGGGCTCCTCCCCTTTTACATGAATTATGGGCTCAATGTCTGGAAGCCCAAGTAACGAGGCCCAATATAATATGGTACCAACAACAATAATTCCATGCAAAACGAAATGACCATGCATTTTGACCTGTTTTACTAGTCATTCCATTGTTTCACTAGTACAAAGGAGCCTTTTGTCTTCTTGTGAAGATTCTAGTCTGTTATTTATGGTACTTATCTCATATGCAAGGAAAAGATGCATATTTTCGGCCTAGAAAATGATCATTTCTTTGCATGAAACCTATAGGAGGACACATATCCTGTTGGAATACTAGTAGTGTAAAGCATGAGGAGTGGAGATAGGTAACCTGCATAGCACATGCATTTGCACAGAGTCGCATGTATTCTTGGCCACCCCCAGACCTAGTAATCCTGATTATTCAGGACCTACAAATAGCTTTTATTTAATTCAATGTAGCTACTGTTCATACTTTTTTTTTTAATAGGGCAATTTATAGTTTTTTCTTATTTTTTTCTGGTGCTTTTCAGGAATTAAAGAGAGAAGGGACAAAAGCAGCTGCTGCACTCAAGTCACTTCAAGAAAAGCTTGAAGAGATATATAAGACAGAACTTGAGCACAAGGTGCACAATTGCTTTGTTGCTGTCATTTTTTTATTTTATTTTATCTGTTTGTCTTTATGGTGCATCAGCATATTATGACTGGTAGATTGAAATTGATATTTTGAAGTAAATGCAGGAAAGTGAAGCAGAGATGAAGTTAAAAAAGGTTGAGGAATTAGCAAAAGCGGGATTGGCAGCAGCAATTGCAAGAGAGAAGACATCCCAAATTGAGAAAATGGCCGAAGCAAATCTTCATGTAAGATTACTACTCAAGTCACCTTAGGATAGATCAAAACACCTAAATGTGGATTTATGGTCCTAATTTTGTGTTTATTTGTATTTGAACTGTCTGAAAAGGACAAAGTTTTAATGAAGATTGTAACTCTGATTTTTTTGAGAGAATTTGAATCCAGAATATTTTTTTGTTGCCTACAACAATTGCTTGTAAAGTACTGCTCAGAAAATGAACTCAGTTCACCCATGTCAGTGCTTACATGAAGTTTGTATTTTAGGAAAGGAACAAAAACAATTAGGGGGAAGTGTAATAGGTGCCGACACACAATTTTTTTTTACAGAAGATCCCTTTTTCCTTTGTCAAAAAATGAAATGCAACTCCAATTTTGCTGGCCACAAATTTATTGGTGTAAAATGCTCTAGCTATTTATGCATATGCATCAAATTTTTGGTCCCTTTTTTTCTATATCATAAGCTTATCTTGAGGACTGAAAATTCATAAAAGAATTAGTAAATGAAATCAGACCTAATGGTCCCCGTATGATCCTTTCAGAGGATTAAGGCATGCAGGCTTCAATTTTATACAACTTTGAGTTAGTAACTGATGCATCTAGCTTAAATAGATTCGTAGTGCGACTGTGTGTATGAATGCCTCTAATTAGTGATTGACAACTTCGTGCACTACAAAATCTGATGTTTAGGTTCTTTTTGTAGATAAATGCCTTGTGTGTGGCATTCTGTGCAAGGTCTGATGAAGCTCGTCAGACTCACTCTGCTCACAAGTTTGCCTTGGTAATTATTATATTATTTTTCGTGCTTGCTTTTTATTTATTTAGAAGAGAACATATTTTATTCATACCATCATCAGTGATTCTTCAAGCCCTTAAGTTTTATCTATCAATGATATATGTTGTGATTGTGGGCATTGCAGGGAGCACTCGCACTAGATGATGCACTTTCAAAAGGATTACCAATCGAGAGAGAAGTAGAGGCTCTGCAAACTTATCTTGAAGGTATTGATAAAGATTCAATTTTGGATGTTGTCCTATCATCTCTTCCTGAAGAAACTCGAAGAAATGGCACAATACCTTATTGCAATTGAATCAGAAGGTTAGTAGTTATTTTCTTACTTCTCCACGTATTTCGTAGAGGAGATCATTGCCCTTATGATCAACTGTCAAATCTTATCACCCTTCTGTAACCGTTTACTTTTACTGTTGAACTTGGATTTGGTCCACTCAACTAATGGCAAAGACTGACCACACCTGTTTATATAGTTGATGGAAGGAATTATTTTCTTCCTGGAAAGTTTGATTGCACAACAATGACCTGCTATTAATTCATTGCATGTCTAAGTTTTTTTGACATAAAGATTGTTAAAATTATGCTCAAGTTTTGCCTCAGAAGTCATACGTCGTTTTAGAGCAACAGGCTACAGATGCATAACATCTTTAAGTTACTAACCCATGAAAGATGACTGGTCAGACTTTCAGGTTGAATTGCTTTATAAATATGCATTCCAAACTGTTGATGAGATGTTATCTACTAAATTCTTTGTTTATTAGCAAGGATTTTGAGGAAATTCCCCCATCTGCCATTTTTAAGACATGACTTTTGGAATTATCCAGGCTGATATTGTTAAAGTTTTGTTGTAGACTAGGATCTTTTTAATCTATTGCCTATAAACTGTTTTATGAAGTTGACCAAAATGCATCACTTCTTATACCCTGAATATTTGACGAAGTCATGCCTTGTTTCTAATATATTTTTTGGTTGTGAAGATATGTAAGACTAAAATTTACCATGCTTTATTGAGGATGCATCGACTAAACTTTTCAAATAATTCTTAAATGTTTGTTTAGTCACCTGAGTTCCATTTTTTTTAAGATTGTAAATTTGTCTTGGCTCTTTCCTTAGTAGGTGCATAAAGGTACAGGTTCAGTGTGAGCAATATCCTGACTTAGTGAAAATCTATATGAAAAATGGATGAGATATTAATTGAAGTTGCTGATACATGAGTTCTCGGCATTTTTAGTATGACCTATGAAGTTCTATGAACTGAAAATAGTTGAGTGCTTCAAGTTCTGATTGGTGAATTCTGGAAATCACCGTATGGATGGGTTACACCTAGTGCTGTATTTGTTGAACTTAACTCTTGGTGCAGTTTGATGCCTTGAAAGGGACAGTACGGCACCTCTGCTTAATTCCTCTTGGTGGTGGTGGCATTGTGGCGCATTCCTTGGCACATATTGCATCCTGGTTGAAGGTAAGTAGAAATGAGGTCTTCGTCCTAAATCCACTAGGAATTTAGTATAAATCAACTTATTGGAGTGCTTGTTGTACTTGTCCTTGGGATTTTGTGTAGGTGAAGGAAGATGACCACTCTGGGGACGGAATTGAATCCATCATCAAGAAGGTGGAGTACTACCTTGCTGAAGGAAAGATAGCCGAAGCAGCAGAGGCATTTGAAGGAGTGAAAGGCACCCAAGCAACGGAAGTAGTGGGTGAATGGGTGAAGCGTGCTAGGAATAGGGCTATCACAGACCAAGCTCTAACACTTCTCCAATCTTATGCTACTTCCATCAGCGTTATGTAAAGTCCATTTCTGCACTACACATAGAGAGCCTACCATATTAAAGGGCTAACGCTTTGAGAGATACGTAAAATGTTTTTTGATCTAGTGTTGTAGCTCTCGATAATTGTCTAAACAAAAGAATCATCCCGTTCGATGTGTTACGTGCA